TGCCCCGGTCCGGGAGGATCCCACATGCCGCGGAGCGGCTGGGCCCGTGAGCCATGGCTGCTGGGCCTGCGCGTCCGGAGCCTGTGCTCCGCAACGGGAGAGGCCACAGCAGCGAGAGGCAAGCATTCTAAAAAAAAAAAAAAAAAAAAAAAAAGTAAATATGGCACAAATGAACTTATTTACAAAACAGAAACAGACTGACAGACATAGAAAACAAACTTACGGTTACCAAAGGGGAAAGGGGGTTGGGGAGGGATAAACTAGAGTTTGGGATTAGCATATACAAGCTACTATATATAAAATAGATGAGCAACAAGGTCCTACTGTATATATAGCACAGGGAACTAGATTCAATATCCTGTCATAAACCATAATGGAAAAGAGTATGAAAAAGAATGTGTATATATATGTATAACTGAATCACTTTGCTGTACACCAGAAACTAGCACAATATTGTAAATCAGCTATACTTCAGTTGAAAAAAAAATCTGCCTCGTATTCCCCTTAGATGTATGGAAAACTTTAAAGCACTTAGACAAGAGAATGGAGAAGATCCAGTTTTATTTGAGACTCCCAGGAGTCATCTTAATAATAGTCTCTATTCCCAAGAGGGGGAAATGAAAGGCAAGGCTTGCATCAGCCTAGTATCCTCACTTTCTTAGGAATCAAAATGTTCCCAAGGTCAAAAACAGTGTGAAGTAACGCCCTAAACCCATCTTCGAAGGCACTACATCAGAAATAGAGTGAATGGTAATTGCTCTTTAACTGGACGTGAGTCTCATTTTCAGTGCCACTGTTTATATTCTTCGTGTCCTGCCTTTCTCTTTATGTTGAATTTGTTCCACCTTGTAAAGATTAAGAAGCACATGTTCTAGCTTTTAAATGTAAAAATTGAATTATTAATAGTTTTTGGATAAAAAATGGGCTCCCATTTCTTCTACCAGAAGCAGTACATTCTCAGAAACTTTGGAACTCACTGATATGAAGTGTCATTTAAAGTTTTTCACTACTTCAGCACTTAAAGCTTTTTATTTCCTCCTTGATATATGACACAGCTGTTTCTCGAAGTGAGCAAAGTCAAGGACTCCATACGATCTAATTAGATTATTCTCTTTGTGTGTCTCCTACATTTAGTGAAGGTTACTAATCAAGTCTTGATGTATTTTTTATTCATTTTTCAAATTCCTCATCTCAAGATGGCTATCGTTGGTGCATTGCCCCCACTATATTGTATGATAATAATGTAGTCATGTCTTTTTCTCCCCTACTATGTGATAAATTTATTAGGGGTAGGATTGTGTCATCCTACGTCAAATCTTGTGTACCTTCAGCCTCCTGATGATGCTGGCTATAGCCACTTAAGCTACTAAGACTTATTCGTAAAGAGTGATGCTCCATCTTTCCGACCTCACATTCTGTGGAGTAATGTAACTTGAATTTTGGAGAAATTGATTCATACTGTTTTAAAGAAGGACAGTTTTAGGTGATCAAATTCAGGATAAAAGAGGCACCTTGCTTCTTAGGTGATATTCTTGACATTGCTGATGCATTCATTACACTTTTTTTTTTTTTTAAAGGCAGATAGTTTTCCTTCTCATCTTCTCCCTCTCCTTTGTCTTTGCTCCTCTCTGCCTCCCCCTTCTCAAGGCTCCTCTATATATTAACATCTTTACTGGTTTACCCAGTATTGACATCTAGAAGTTACTTTTTGCTTACCTGGTGTATGTATCAGAATACTTTTACTCCAAAATTATTGCTTATAAACAAAACCTCACACAAAACAAATTTTTAAAATGGCTTAGCTTTTGATGGTTAATGGGAGATAATGTGGTAGTAATTAGTCAAAATAAAGTATCCCTTTATTGAAAGTATTGGAAAATTTCTTGTAAATTAAAGTTATGTTTAAGGTTATTGAGTCTTTGTAGATAAATTTTCTTTCCTTAGTTGTTCTGGGGTAGGGCATTTAGTAATAGATACATATCTTAATATAGATGCTTCAAATCCTTTATTAAGCTGTCATCATTTTTGGTCTTATGATGAGCGGCAGTCAGGTGAGCTTAGGGAAAATTGGCAAAGTATGGACAAATACCAAGATAGGAAAAAAATTCATCTACAAAGAAGATGTGGAGTTGTTGCCTTTCTTCCCTCTATGTCTAGATGATTAGAGATGACTGTATCCTTGGATTTTATTTTCAAAATTGGAGGTTATTTTTAAAATGGGTATCTAAGAGTGCAGAGTGGGGTGGGGAACTAAAGCTTGATGTAAAGCAAAATATAGTAAACAAAAAACTCCCACACAGTCATATAAAAAACAAACCTATTTGCTATGACAGTAAATTTAAATGACATCAGATGATAGAATTAGCTATAAGTTCTTTTCATTTCTTGTTGTGGATTGCAACCTCTGTAAATCGATATTTCAGGTAAAGGGTTTCCAAAATAATCATTTACATATGTATGGTGTGTGTTTTTAAAAATTAGATATAAAATACATATAAATATGCATTCTGGTATATGTGAAAACTAAAGTAACACAAAACTGTTGCATTCACATGTTTTTAACAACTTGAATTTGTGTTTCTTTAAAGACTAAAGGCAAAATAGATCTTTTCATTGCCTTAGTTTATGCAAAAAGTTGAATAAAAATATGGTGATCTGTTTGTAGGAACAAGAAAATTGGACTATACACACAGTTTATAATTTAACAGTGATTAGTTATATAGTGATTATTAGAGCTTCTAGACTGTAAATTATAAAGATAAAATGTTACTATTTCTGTTTTAAAGTTTATTGCCTACATAGCCAGTGGATCAGAAATCCAAGATGGGTAATCACTGGTATTGTGCTTCAGGCTTTAGATCTAACAAATAAAAATGAAAAACATTTGGATATGATTAAAGAACAGAGAAACAAGGGGATGGAGAGCAACCAATTCAGAAAATAAGGAACAGTTGGTTTTCCCTAATTACAGCCATCTTGTTTTCTTTTTTCTTCTGTATGTATCAATTGGAAGTTTGGTAGAAAATTAACTTGTTTGCCTAATTATAGAAATAAATTCGTTGCAGATTTTCAAAAGTGACTTTATGTTTTTCCTTAAACTCAGATTTCAAAAGTCAGTTGCAGTTTGTATTGGCTGCAATTCTTTCCTTGGATATAGTTCATCAGTTTACTTTTCATTTCCTAAGACTGGATTTCTTAAATCTACCATCGCCTAAATGAGGATGTGTTGACATAAATGAGAAGATCAAAGATTCAACTAATTAAAGAAGTTTTACCTTGGAATTAGGCTGAGTTGTGCAGAAGTGTGGCTGAATCTAAGAAGATGATGAAACATTTTGCATAACCTAACCATAATGATTTTGCAGATTGTTTGTTGTTGCCAGTCAAGCACTAAAATAAGGCCTAAGCTGACCCTTCTTTCCCATAAATCTTCTCATGGATAATAAAGGTTATGGAAATTGGGACTTTTTGGTTTTCCAGTAGAGATGAATTTTTTGAGATGTCAATTACTTTATACTTTATTGCTTTCTGTTCATTCCTATTTTTCCCACTTTTTATCACAAGTGCCTTATTTATTACGTATTCATATAATACAGGAAGTTACATGTTTCCTTTCAGTGACTTTATGGAGAGGTGCATGTTTTATGATCTTTTTGGTACCTAACATGTTTTTTTTGCTTGTTATTTGAGAGTCATTAAACCCAGATACATGAGTAAAAAAAAAAAGGCAAATAAACACAACTTTCAGTATCAAAGTCCTGCTGAAACATTGTATGGTGTTATATGCATTGCCGATTTGATGGCTTTCTTTAGTTTTCCTCTGTATTTACTTTGAGTGCTAATTCAAGCGCCTCCTCCCCAGCCCCAGCCCTGACCCCTCAACACACACACAAAGCAGTTAAGGCTTCAAAATGGAACGATAGTAGATATGTGCCTGCTGTGTTCTGGTGATTCTGAATAAGCAGGAATATAAAGAGGCAAGGTCACCTCAAAACTGAAAAGTTCTGTAGTATTTTATCTTTCAGTTGCTTCCTTACTATCTAGCACTAACAGTTTTGGGCTGATTAACATAATTAATGTTGTAAACTTATGAAAAGCTAAGAAGGAATGTAGATGATACTGTTAAAGTATTAGTCATGGTTTGAAGCCTGTTCTAAATCATGTCAGAATTCCCAGAACTTAACATGGAAATTAGAATAGAGACAACACCTACATTTCCTTCCCTTCCAAACCATTGTTTTCATACTGCCATAGCTTTTTCTTTCTAAAACCGAGATTTGATCATTTCCTTAATCTTTTTAGTCCATTTTGGCTTCCCATTCCTTATTGCAGTAGCTTTTTATGGACTACATTAGAATTACCCAGGGAGCTTCTAAAATATGCACATATCTGAGACTTATCAGAAACTCTGATTTTTATATAGAAGTGACAAGTGTATTTGACAAAATCTTTGTTCATTGGTTCAGATGCCTCTTTTTGTCATGTCCCAACCAAACTTTCTCATCTTGTCTCAAGCCGTTTCCTCCACTCTCTTTCTGCTCTTCTCTAGCCATGCTAAATCTAGATATTTTCCAAATAGTTCTATTCCTAACCTCTCCTCCTTCCCCTCCTCTCCACTCTAAGTCTTTCATCTGTTGAACAACTGCTTATCTTGCTAGATTCGCCTTAAATGACACATCTTTCCTTATTCCCTGTGTAGAAATAAGCACTCTGTTTTTTTTGTTTAACATTTATATTTGATTATGAGTTTTTTAGGTGTCCGTCTCCCCCATTAAACCTCATGTAATTCATCTTGTTCACGTTTATATTAAATGAGTACATGGACGACTAATAGAATCCCTGTTAGGAATTTAAATGTACAGTTTTTATGAACATTGTTTTTAAGGGCTTTATTGAGTTGACCTAGGTTGATAATTTCATTTTTCATAATATATTCCCATTAAATCTTACATGCCTATATATTTACTTTTTCCTTCATTTTTCCCTGTTTGTATCTACAGACGAAATCTTACAAAACTCTCCCTTATCTTCAGTCACATGTTGGCAGAAATCAAAGCTATCTTTCCCAATGGGCAATTCCAGGGAGATAACTTCCGTATCACGAAAGCAGATGCTGCTGAATTCTGGAGAAAGTTTTTTGGAGACAAGTAAGTACAAATTTGGATCCATGTTTGAAGAATGACTTAGACCTGCCTCCAGTTCCACATGGTGTAGATTTTACCTGAGTATTTTGAGAATATACTGCAGTGTTTTTGATAAGTGTTTTGATTGCTGTTTTTTCTATTTAGCCACCAAAAGTATACCTCAGTAACTGAATAATTTTGTTGTTACCAAGTAAATATTATATGACATTTATTTATTCGGTGAGCATTCATTGAGTTAAATAGTTAGCTCTAAGAAGCAGATGTATGTAAGACAGAGTATACATGAGAAGCTCATAACTTTTTATAACTTAGTGTACACATAAAACACATATAGAAAATAAAAGGCAGAAAGGGAAAGACACTTTAAAAATTGGCCTAAATAAATTGTTCTGACAATCCAGAGGGGGGACACTTACTTGAGGACTGCAGGCATCGGAGACTGCTTTCTATACTAGGAGGTAGAGTATCAGCTTGACGAAGATCTGAAATTGAAGTGGGAAAAGGCCTCAGCACTGGCATTCAGGTTTTCTCTGTGTCATTGCACAGAAAGTATGCACGTGTAAACAAGATACAGAAATGAGGATAATGTTATCACAGAGTTGCATTATCTCACAAAAATAGCTAAAGATGTTTTCCTTAGGTATTTCCTATCCAGACACAAACCCAGGTGAGCTTGGCAAATAATAGGAATTGAATATCTGAAGTCTGCATAACTTAAATAAAACGTGCAAAACTTTTATCAGGAATCTCTTAGTAAGATGCTTAAGAACCGAGCATCGGGTGGCAGATGGTTTCTTCAGTTTCTTTTAAGGGTCCCCTTTGATGAGAGAGCACCCTCAGAATGTCCTTGAATGTAGGCAGAACTGTAGCTAAGAATTAAGGAGGAGTGATTGCTTACACACAGATTATTGTTTTCATCCTGTAGTTAAATTCTATATTTATACGTTAGCTGACGAAATACAATGTAAAATGTTGGCACACACTTTCAGTGATCTGGAGTCCTGTGACACTGGTGAATTAACTGTAACGTTGGGTTTCCTGTTTTTTTTTTTCTCTATGACGTGCTGTGTTTATCTATAGCTACCACATGACTAGGACATACACAGAGCAATGCACATTTGATTAGATGCATATATATATATATATATATTTTTTTTTTTGCGGTACGCAGCCTCTCACTGTTGTGACCTCTCCCGTTGCGGAGCACAGGCTCCGGACGCGCAGGCTCAGCAGCCATGGCTCACGGGCCCAGCCGCTCCGCGGCATGTGGGATCTTCCCCGGACCGGGGCACGAACCCGTGTCCCCTGCATCGGCAGGCAGACTCTCAACCACTGCACCACCAGGGAAGCCCAGATGCATAATTTTTTTACTTCAAAAATGTTAAAGCCTTTTTCCCACTTCTTAAATAAAATGCATTCTTAATTATTTTTAGGCACTACGGGAGGAAATACTGTTATTGCTTTTAACACAAGACATTCTGTGTTCCAGAAATCTAGCTCTTTGTAATGCTCCTATATCTATTCACAAATGAGGACTTAAAAAAAGAAAAATCTCATCTGAATTAGACTAACAGCCAAGAGTGTACGGATTAAATATTTGTGAATAGTAGAAAGCAGAAAGGGACCGCAGAGTTCTGGGAGTAACAGCTGAGGATGTCTTGAAGCTACAGCTCATATATTAACACTCTGAGCCTAATGCAAAGAGTTGGTAACCTTCAAAATAAACTATCTTAAAATTTTAAGAAAATCTATCAGACAAGTTGTTTGCGGTATTTCTTTCTGAAAACTGAAAATTCTGGTGAGTTAAAAATTGCTTGCTTGTCAAAAGGTCAGTAAAAAATGGACCTTTTGACAAAAGATTGCTCACATGTTTTTCAAGAGAGGAGTTTGTTTTGCCAGCACCTCAAACCACAGAAAATTATGCATTTGAGACATCGTTACTTCCCTTTATTTATAGCCATAGACATTAAGGGGCTGAAATTTCTGTCCAACTGCTACGTGAGTGAAATCACTACTAAATCAAATGGGGGATTCTTGAAATTCTGATTAAACGCTCTCCCTACCTCCTAAACCCTTGTACCCTTGTCTTCTGTCTTTGCTTACTTGAGAAGGCTTCTTAATTGGTCTTTAAGATTTTTATTTTGGGGATGAGAGCCAAAGGTAAAGCTCCCTCTGGAACTTAGACATATTTCTGTAGTCATCAAAATGAATGCTTCTTTTATTAGATCACTGGAGAAACCATCTTTATATTCTCTGTGGGTTTTCACCTTATAGTTCCACAGTATTTTATTGAATGAATGGACGAATGAATGATGTAGCCTTTTAAAAGGTTGAATTCTTTTCTCTTCCTTGTACTCATACTAGTTTGCATTTTTGCATAACTGAGTTCTCATACAGAAGTATTCCTGTTATTTATCTACATACTGAGGGCATATGAGAATGCTTTCATGTGACCTAACCGGTGACTTTAAACTTGAATGCATTATTGTTTCCAAAAACAGAACCATTGAGCGGTTAGTTCTCAAAACAGCCAAACAGATTATGATTTTTATAAAGCAGGTTTTAACATAAGGAGTAGTATTGTGATATTTTTCCCAAAAGGAACTGTCAGTAAGAAAAAAATATTAGTATTGAGTTAAAATTGGGAAATAGTTATCGTTCAAAGGACTTTATAAACTCCTAAAGGCAATCTTAGGATTCAGACCTAAAGAACAGGCAGCAGACAAAAATCTTTAGGTGTCATGTGACTAATGCTTCCTTTCTGTGCTTCTCAACCTTTTTGAAGTCATGGCAGGGCCAGCCTCTGCTCAAGGTCCAAGCCCAGCTGCCAAGGAGGTTCTGCCTGTCTGGAGCCTTAGGGGATCAATAACATATCATGTGCCAGGGTAAACTGGTTGGGAAGTTCTGTAGTTGTTAGATTTGGGGAAGTCCTGTAGTTGGTAGATTTTTATGAGAAGTTATTGAATGTTTTAATAGTTGAGTTCTGCTTTTGCTTTCTTAGTCTGTTGACCAGGAGATAGTAGAAATATGTGGAAAAGAGGAGTGGCATTTTTGAGTGAATGTGTCTAAGTAAATTCTGCCAAATGGGACCAATACCAAACTCTGGGTTAGAAGGTGAAGTTTATAATCCAGAAACTTTAAGCATAAGGCTCAAAGAATGTATTATTAACTGTTCAAAAAAGACCCATTAATGTGATTAGACTCGGTGACAGTCATTTTTCTAATAAGCAAGTCAGGTAGCAGTTTCTAGGCTCCTTGTACCAAGCATTTCTTGATGTTGAGGAGATTTAGACATGTGTTTCCAACCAAATTATAATTCAACAAGAACCATTCTAACTCCTGAATCTTTGTATGTACCTTCTCCCCATCCTTACTTTACTTCAAGTTCTATTCATCAGTTTCATGTTCAAGTTCAAATTCTTCCCTGGACTACTGCAACAGCTTTCTGTCTGGTCTCCCTACCTTTAATAACAGCCTATCCCATCGATTTTCTTGATGAGGCCAGTGAGCTCCAAAAAGCAGAACCCTTCATTCTATTTTTTTTTTTTTTTTTGCCTGAAACGCTATGCATTCTATGCATCATTACTGAATCTGGGTTAAAGTCTATAACCCCATTAATATGACAAGCTTTAGGAACTTTTTTTCTAGCTTCATCTCTCTATTCAATTCATCCTCAAAGAAACAACCTCCTCATACTCTGTACTTATTTCCTAGTATGCTTTTTATTTCCACACCTCATTGTCTTTGTTTCCCTAAACTGCACCCTCCTCTTGGGAAACCAGTTACCCACACCCTACCCAGTGTCACACCCTACCCAGTGTTGCCACTTTGGAGGCGTTCCTGAGTAACCCTAACCTAAGGTGGGCATGCCTGCTTTATTCTTCAAGTACCTGAGCTCACATCTCGCACACTAGACTGCAGTGAACTGCTGACATGCTTGCATTTCCCAGTAGACTAGAAAGCTTCCTTGATTTTTATTTCTCAGAGCCTGGTGTGGTTCTTGGAATATGTGAGCTCTAATAAGTGTTAACAGACTGGATGAATAATTGGATGGATGGGTGAGTGGATGGATGATGTCTATTGTCTGCTCAAAATTTTCAATAACTTATGATCTACAAATTGATTTTTTTTTGTCATCAGTTCCTACAGTTCTCCCTGGCATGCCCCTCTTCCCTCCTCTTTCTTTTCTACAGTCCCAGAATCTTGGCACCCTTCCTTTAAGTCTAGTTCAGAAGTCTTCTTTTCTGGGTTCTAATATATACCCTCCCACATGTTCAACTTTACGCCATGTTTTGTGTTTATGTTGTATTTTAAATATATTTATATTATCAAATGTATTTATTACGTGGGTCTTTCCTGCTCAAAAATAAAGCTCCTGTTGACTTTTTATCCAAAAATTAGTAAAAACAGGTACATTTATTAGAGTTATTATATGTCAAACTCTGTCAAATGCTTTCACATAGATTAGCTCCATTTTCAGTACGAAGTTTAAACATTATTCTTTAAATGGCTATCAGATGAGTCCTTTGGGTACTGTATACATAACAGACACTCAGTAATTATTGGTTGAGTTCATGATGTATTTTTCTACCATTTTAGTCCTCTTTTCTTTTACTTATGTCCTGTTCTTCAGGCAAGTGGGATTATTTGGCTCTTTCCTGACACCTCAGCGGCTACAGGTTTCTGTGTCTTTGCCCACATTGTTCCTTCCACTTGAAGATTTTTATCTCTGGTATAAAAGTTCTCACTAATCCCTCAAAGTTCATCTTGCTCTTGATTCTGGCCCTTATTATCATACTGGATCTTTTAGTTCTTAAACTCCCATAAGCTCTTGCTCATCCTCCATATTTATTAGTTTTCATTGATTTTTAAAGTTATTTGTCTAGCTATCTTTCCATCAGACTATAAGCCCCATGAAATCAGGCTTATTTAATCAATCTTCGTGTTTCCCAAGGTGGATCAGCACAGTGTCTCATTTGGAGACTTTCAGGAACTGTCGCTCA